TATATAACTTCAAACCCTCATTTTCTCTATTTTTCTGCATTTAAATTCTATGTTATGTAATATAGTATAGATAAGATACGTCTGTTCTATGTTAGTTGTTAGTTTTTTCATGTATATACTATGTTAGCTGTTACTTTCCTAATTATATTTATTACATGGCTATTACACTAATTATAATTTTTTTTGGTTAGTTAGCAAATTGACCCTAATATTTTACGATGTCAAACAAACAAAAGGATAACGATTTTTCCTTTTAAGGAATAGTGAAACCTACATACATGGAGGGGAAAAATGACATTGAAAAGTGAAAACCTATAAATTTTATAAAATTATATTTTCTTAGTTAGTCAATAAAAACTCCCCCTCTCGGCCTCTCCTTCTATGGGCTATACAATCTATCTAGACCTATAAGCCCGTTATATTCAAAAATTTAAAATTCATTTAACTGTTATTAAGAAAAATCACATGCAAATGCAATTTTTACGTACTACAATCTAAACGAGAATGGGAAAATTACCCTTCAAATTTCATCTCGTCTAGTCAAATTAGAATAACTTAAAAACCGTTTAAACACGAAAACTTAGAATAACTTAAATACCGTTTAAACACGAAATTTTGATTCTGAAAACTTACTATCTATTACCTATATGATTATTGACATTAATACAAGGATAATATATTTCAAATCTTTTTAAAAAATAATAATATATATTTCAAATTTAGACTTTGATTGAACTATCCGTATAAATAAGTTGTATGCAAAAAGTGAGAACATAAATAAATTGAAAAGTTAGCGTAACAGACATTACACATGCAGTCACAACGTTTGAATTGAGGCCCATCATCCCAATTTCCAGACATAATCATTCTCTTCACTCAAAATTTTAAGAACAAGAAGAAGAAAAATACCACTTTTTCCAAATGTTTTGCCACTTTTTTCCTTTTTTTTTGGTCTAAAATTGATATTCATTCATTTAAACCGGTTGGTTTGACCAGGTAGTCGCTACAACTTCTAGAGCTAATTTTTCTAAGGCATCAGCCTCTACATTTTTTTATCAGAAAACAAAAACAAACGAGATCTCAAGATCGTAGGTGATTTTGAGGATTTCTTGCACAATCTCATAGATTTCCAACTGGGTTTGATTCGAATTGAGGAGATTAATCAACTGTTGAGAGTCTGATATCATGGAGAAGCCGGTAAGGTTCATTGTCGATGTGTGCTCTAGCGCTTCTCTCATGGTCAAGGCTTCAGCCATTATAACTGATCCGATCTGCGACTCAACCCTGGAGCCCTGCGCCACGATCCGGTCATTTTTATCCTTGACTATCCAACCCAGTCCAGCGATGTGCGATTCCACTCTCCACGCCGCATCTGAGAAGCAGCGGATTCCAGATATGTCCTTCGGCATGGATTTGGTTTGTCTCTCTATTATTGCCATTTTTTCCTGTGCCGATTTCCATTCATATGCTTCATGTATCGCTTTGGTTATTGTTTCCATTGCTGTAAATGATCGGTTTTGAAAAATCTTCTGGTTTCTCGTTATCCAAAGGGACCAAGCAATCCAAGGGAAAAAGTTCCCCTCATTGATGCCTGTTGGTGACAGGCAGATCATCTGCTTGGCTTGTATCAGTCCCACTTGAAAATTTGGGATTGTTGGGGAAGAGATTGGGTCTTTAAAGGGAGCCAGATCCCAGACTTCTTGGGCAAAAGAGCAATGAAGAAGGAGGTGATCAATTGTTTCTGTTTCCCCGCATCGAGGGCATTTGATGTCTGTCATGACTCCCCTTGTCTCCAATTGCGCCCCCACAGGTAAAACACCTTTGACTGCCTTCCAAAGGAAGAGTTTTAGCTTATGTGATGTCTTTATGCTCCATATATCTGAAGTCCAATTGAATTCTTGTATGATAACTTGGTTACTTGGGATTGAACCTGCTTCTTTTGTCACATGGTATCCTGATTTTGCTGTATAGTTCCCAGAGGCATCACCCAGCCA